TACAGATTAGGTGAGCCCTGGCTCAAAAACAGTAACTGTGAGAGGAACTTTGGAGTCCTAATGGATAATCACTTAAACATGAGCCAGCAGTGTGAAGCAGCAGCCAAAAAAGCTAATACAATCTTGGGTTGTAAAACAGAGCCATAGAATCAAGATGAGATGAAGTATTATTACCGCTTTATAAACCCTAATAAGACCACACCTGGAATATTGCAACTGATTTTAGTCACCATACTAGAAAAAAGATATTGAGACTTTGGAAAAAAATTCAGAGAAGAGCAACTAAGAGGATCAAAGGCTTGGAGACTAAAACATATGAAAAACGACTGCAGGATTTGAGTTTGGCTAGCCCAAAGAAAAGAAGAATTAGCAGTATTTGAGGGGCTGCCAATGAGAAGACAGGTCAAAGTATTCTCTAAAGCACCAGAAAGCAGGACAAGAAATAATGGTTTCTAGAATCTGGAATTAAGGAGAAACTTCCTAACAGTGAGGACAATTAACCAGTGGAACATCTTGCCTTCAGAAATCATGGGTGCTTCATCACTGGAGGATTTTAAGAAGAGACTAGACAGTCACTTATCTGAAATAGCATAGATTCTCCTGCTTGAGCAGGCGGTTGGACTAGAAGACCTCCAAGGTCCCTTCCAGCTCTATTCTATTCTATCATAAGACAGATCCTCAATATTTTCTCTGGCTACATAACTAATGTCATATGAACTTACAAATGTATACCATGCTACCCACATATATGCCAATTAAGACAATTAAAACATACAGAATTTTTGAGCATCTACAGAGAGGGGCATTTTTATCATATTTTCAACATATTTTGAGCAAAAAATTGATCATCAACTTATCTGCATATAGGATCTGGATTTACATGTTTTCCTCTGTAACACAAATTGCCTCTGCTATTTTGCAAACCTGTAAAGTCCATTCTGATCTATTGGTTGGAAAAAATGTGATTATAGTTCTGCCATTTCCAGCAGGAATTACCAAACAGCAGCATTAGACACATTTTTTTTTTAGAAATTATGGAGAATATTTGTAGCTCAGGTTGTAAATTTAGGCAGAAGTTTGTCCTCCGACCTTGCTGCTTGGCTCCCAAACATTTTGTTACCAAACTAGATAACATCTTCAGCAAGCTTTTGGGATGAAGTGTCCTGTTCATTTATATACTTCCTGGATGATCAGTTGGTCTTGTGACTGGTTGACTCACAAGCGTGATTGAATCACAAGACTGATTCTGATCTTGTGTCTTCTGACTGGTTGATGTTGAGGCACGAAATTCAGCTGATGAGAGAGTTGTCAGTTCTGTTGTCAATTGGTGGTTTGGATGGTCTGCTTCCTTATTGGTTCATACACTGATTCTAAGTCAATGCGTTTGTTGATAGGCTGTTGGTAGAATGCCAGGCTTCGATAAAGTTGTGTTCCTGACTGGTTTTGGCATGGCCAATGACTTTGCCTTTGTGTTGTGGCCTGTCAGCTTCCAGCAGAGCTAGCAGCAGAGTCAGGTGAGGAGAGGGGGGAGGGCCAGTTTTGGAGCATTTGGAAGGCTCTGTTGAGCATTGGAAGGCAATAAGCTCATTGAAGGAAAAGAAGTCATAGATGCTAGCCAGCCCCTCTCTGGCTGGAAAATAAATAGTAGGGGTTTGGGAGTGGCCTGTCACAGACAACCATTCATTTTCCAGTGTATATTTTTATTTATTTATTTATGTCAATTGCTTACAAGATAATAGGTATAAGTAAAAACATAGTTATGCATACATGGATACATATAAGAAAAAATTTTAAAAAGAAAAGAAAAGAAACAATAGGACAGGGACATTAGGCACGATTGGTGCGCTTATGCATGCCCCTCTAAGGTTAAAGTTTTTGGGGTTTGGGGAAGAAACCACAGAGTCAGGTAGAGTATTCCAGACATTGACCACTCTGTTGCTGAAGTCGTATTTCCTGCAATCAAATTTGGTGCGATTAACCTTGAGCAAATCTATTGTTTGCTCTTGTGTTGTTATGGTTGAAGTTGAAGTATTCATTGACAGGTAGGACATTGCAATGTATGATTTTATACACTATACTTAGATCGGACCGAAGGCGCGGTAGTTCTAGGTTTTCTAGGTCTAGAATTTTGAGTCTGGTGGCATAAGGTATTCTGCAACGAGCAGAGGAGTGGAGAACTCTTCTTGTGAAATATTTCTGGACTTTCTCAACTGTGTTAATATCAGATACGTAATGTGGGTTCCAGACTAATGAGCTGTATTCAAGTATTGGTCTAGCAAATGTTTTGTATGCTCTAGTTATTAGTGTAATATTACCAGAGAAAAAGCTACGTAAGATTAGGTTAACAACTCTTAACGCCTTTTTGGCTATGTAGTTACAGTGGGCTCTAGTACTTAGGTCATTAGAGATGAGTACTCCAAGATCCTTGACAGAGTTTGGATATCAATTGAGTCCGCTTATCTTTGCCAGAACCAGATTTGTATTTGAGGTGCCAACTGAGTCTCCCTGCTGGGAAATAATAGATAGTGAATTTGCCTCAGCCGGGGTGAACAGGAACTGTTCCTGCTTGACTTAATCATAGAAGGATTTTTTATCTTGAGTTCTCATGTGAACAGAGACTGTTTGTGCCCTGTTTTCAGAAAGGGAAAAGACTTTCATTTGTGACTAATTATTTTTGGTTTTGCCTTTCCAATGTGAATAAAGACTGTTCCTGCCCTGTTTTAAAAGGGTGTTTGTTTTACTCATGAGTAAGTGGTTTCTCATTGTTTGCAAAGATTGGATCAGAACATTTTGTTCCAGTTGAACTCATGTTGTTTGTTGTCGGTGTGACTGGTGATCAGGGACTTTGGGTCATGCTGTTTGACAGCCAGCTGGTATTCATGGATTCTAGTTTGTGGCAGTTGTCCTGTCTGCCCAACATACAATTGGGCAGACTGGTTACAATTGTTGCATCTGATTCTGTACATTACATTGGTGCTTCCTTGTATGTCCTGTCTTTGAACTTTGTTTCCGTCTGAGTATGAATGTGGGTTTGTGGGCTATTGTTATTTTTAGGGGTTGCAGTAGCCTGGCAACCACTTCTGTTGTTCCTTTGATGTATGGCAGGATTTGTTTCCATGCTGCACTTTTCTGTGTGGCTTTCTGGGTTTAGATGTTATGCATCACAGTACAAAATTCCTGGGATAGCCATTGTGGCGAAAAATATTGAAGAGGTATTTCTCCTCTGCTTCTCTTAGGGATTTGGTGCTGCAGTGTGTTCTGGCTCTCTTGAAGAGAGTCTGGCCACAGCTTCTTTTGTGTACTGTGTTGTGGTTGCTGGAAAAGTTAAGGATTTGGTTCATGTGTGTGGGTTTCTGGTATACAATTTTAACCAGTTCAATGTCAGACAGATAGGACAAGAGGTAAAAACCAGAATCATGAACACCAGCTGGCTGTCAAACAGCATGATTCAAAGTCCTTGATCATCAATAACATTGACAACAAACAACATTGGTTTGAATGGAACAAAGACAAAGTCATTGGCACCAAACACCCATCAGGCATTTTATCAAAGCCTGGCATTCTACCAACTGGTTCATCAACAAACACATTGACTTAGTACCAGCATGTGAACCTGTAAGGAAGCAGACCATCCTAACCATCAATTGATGACAGAAACAACCACCACCTCACCAGTTCAATTTCATACCTGACAGCAACCAGTTAGAAGTCACAAGGCCAGAATCAGTCTCAATCAGTCTTGTGATTCAACCTATTAACCTGTCACAAAACCAACTGATCACTCAGGATCTTTATAAACGATTAGGACACTTCACCCCAAAGCCCTGAGAAATGTCCGGGAGCAAAGCAGCAAGCTCATTGGACAAATTTTTTTCTCATAAGTTGATTGATTATATGCCATCAAGTTGGTGCAACTCTTAGTAACTATATAGTTTTTAATGAATGACTGATGATATTATGGTATAATAATTAAAAGATTATGAATTACTATGAATAAATATAATAATTAATACAATAAGGAGAATAATTGAAAAGATTTGCAAATGAACAACCAATTATACATGCAATGTTTCCAAGAACGTATCCTGCTTAATTGGAAAAGAAAGTTACTAGTTCATGTAATTTTAATCTGTTTTTCTTCTAAGTAGTGTTATACCTGATGATTCTTGACTCTTGACGAATATATCTTTTCTTTAATGTGCACTGAAAGCCTTTGCACCAAGACAAATTCCTTATGTGCCCAATCACACTTGGCCAATAAAAAATTCTATTCTATTCTATTCTATTCTATTCTATTCTATTCTATTCTAT